ACACCAGGATGGAGAAGAACATGAGTGTCTTGTGGTGGGAACAATTGGACTGACCATCCTATGCCCATGCCTCAACCCAGTGAAGCCTTATTAATCTAGATGGGGGGGGGGAGGCCCTCAATGGCTACCCTTTCTCAGGGATCTGCTCTTGCTCTATGGTGGCTCTGCTTGCTTAAACTCACCTTCTATAACCTCCCCCTTCTGCCGATTGTGAAATTCATTATTTGAGGTCATGAGACAAAGACTCCAGAAGCCACTAGCCTAGAGAGGCTTTAGTAGCTGATTCTCTAGGACCCTAGACGCCACCACTTCCCCCAAGGTCTGCTTGACTGAGGCTAGAAGTCTCTACTTCACTCAAGGACCCCTTACTTCCTTTCAACTCAACTCTCTAAATTGCCCCAAAGATGATAAAATTGCAAAAATACGCTATTGCCTCTTCCTGTTGAGTGTTAATCTAAGTGGGCCTGTCCTGGACAAGAAACTTTATCTCAGCAAAGCTGATTCACCCAAAGAAGATGAGAGGCATAATTATCCCCTTAAAAACTCTTTACTTACACAGACTCCCTCCATGCAGTTGCTCTAAATCCCTCGCTTGCTGAGTCCACCCCCCTTTCTGAGTTCTAACACAAAAAGCATAACTTTTTCTTTTTCTCCTTTCTTTCCCATTTTCAGATATCAGCCCAAACCCTAGCCCTCTTTACCCTGGCACTCTCACTCTTCTCTGAAGAGTTCCAGCCCATAAAACTGCTTATAGACCTCCTTTGTTGAACCTGCCTGTTTTCTTGGACTCAAAAAGTCTGATCGTGGGCCTCTCATCCTGTGATTCTCAACCTGTGGATCCTGACCCCCAATGGGGCGGGGTCCGCATATCAGATATCCTGCATATCAGACATTTCCATTATGATTTATAACAGTGGCAAAACTACGGTTATGAAGCAGCAAAGAAATAATTTCATGGTTGGGGAAGGTCACCACAACATGAGGAACTGTATTAAAAGGTCACAGCAGGTAGAAGGGTGAGAACCACTGCTCTTACCCATGATCTTAGTTTCATTTCTCTTGTGACAAAAAGAAGCTTAGAGGTGAGAAGCTTTATTTTTGGAAATACTTTAGGTTATAGCTTATCAGAGCTGAGAGTTAAGTCTCTTGGTGTGGGAACACGCAACTTACTGTGGGTGACATTTCCTAGCATGGGGCCCTGAACTATCCACATGAAAGCAGAAAAACTGAGATGAGCACAAGCCAGTAAATGAGCATGCATGTGTTCCTTTCTCTCTGTTCCTGCTGCCCTTCCTTCCCGGCTCTGATAGGCTATTAACTATTAGGGGAGAGGGCAGCTTTGTGTTAGTATATTCTTACTTTAGTTCCCACCCAGAATCAGAAATACAATTCAGATCTTTTCAGCCCCAAATCCTGCAGCAGTGTAGATTAAAGAAAATTGACTAAGCCCTTAGTCCCACCACTCAGGACGCAGGGACAGGCAGATCTCTGAATTTGAGGCTAGCCAGGTATACAGAGCGAGTTCTAGGATAGCCATGGCTACACAGAGAAAGCCTGTCTCAAAAAAACCAGAGAGAGGGTTGGGGGTGGAGAATAAAAAAAAGGTTTTATAAAAAAGCTCCAGCCGGGCGGTGGTGGCGCACGCCTTTAATCCCAGCACTCGGGAGGCAGAGCCAGGCGGATCTCTGTGAGTTCGAGGCCAGCCTGGACTACCAAGTGAGTTCCAGGAAAGGCGCAAAGCTACACAGAGAAACCCTGTCTCGGAAAAAAAAAAAAAAAAAAAAGCTCCAATCACCAGAGGAGACATCTTTATTTACTGGGCTTAAGCAAAGTCTTTCCACCTCTACCTCCTCCCTGTATTTGGTATTTCAAATTTTAAGGAGGTGCAACTGTGTTGTTTTCCCTTTTTGAAATTAGGACTTTGTCAGGGAAACGGGGGTGTGTGGTCCAGAACTGATCATGGTGGTGGGGCTATCCTCAGGGACTTCTGCTGCCAAATATTTTTCTAATGTTCAAGGAGGGGGGTGTTGCGACAAACAGAGGAACTGAGTTGAATCTTCCTTCAGGCAAGAGATTCATTCAGGCCAGCAGGCAGCACAGCACAAGTTAGAGGCTTTGGTCTTGTCAAAGTGACTACTCTTAAGGTTTGTTTTTTTTTGCGGGGGAGAGGTGGGTTGTGGTTTCATTTTGAGGAAGTACACTGAGTTAACAGTCAACCTCTGCTGTATGACTGAGGGTGGGGAGGGAGGGGCATGTGACTTTGGCTACTTAACAGAGGTCACTCATTCTCTGGGCAGAGGAATGGGCTTGGCTAATGCTTGACTCAGTGTGACTCAGTCAGGGAGCTAGCTGAGTTGGAAGGCAGGGGAGAGGAGCACCAGATGTGGGGTGGTTTTTTTGTTTGTTTGATTTTTTTGGTTTTTGTTTTGCATATAGCCCTCTCTGCTTAAGGCCTGGCTTTTCTAACATCTGACACCTGGTACCTAAGCCTGACAACATCTGGTCCCTCTAACTCTGGGTAGAAACCAAAGGGAAGATTACAGAAGCACACTCTCTCTCCCTGAAAAGTTCATCTAAGTGGACTTGTCAATCATTCGGACAGAAGTCCACCACTAAGAAAAGCTGGCTACTCCACACTGGTGCTGGCTGGAAACTGGAGGACTCATTAGAGCCCCTAGTTTGAGCCAGGCGTTGGTGGCCCATGCCTTTAATCCCAGCACTTGGGAGACAGAAGAAGGCAGATAAATCTCTCTGAGTTGGAAGCCAGCCTGACCTGGTCTACAAAGTAAGGTATAGGACAGCCAGGGCTGTTATACAGAGAAACCCTGTCTTGAAAAACCAAAACCAACCCCCTGACCGCCCCCCCCAAAAAAGAGGTCCGAATTTAAGACTGATAGAGAACCAGTGTGTGGTACTGTAGTCCTGTGTCCTTTTCCTCCAAAAAGGTGATGGTCCCACTGCCGTCTCCAGAGTAGAGATAACCTTGACCCAGTAGCCATGGCAAGTCAGAAGAGCATAATGCTGATAGGTCTGTGAAAATGGTCAGAGCGCCCATTAGCCAGAGCAGAAGAAGGAAGAACCCTCACCTAGAGTTCCAGCCATTACCCCTCCTGCTCTTCTCCAACTACAAGTGGTCTCAGAAGATGCTAGAATATAGAGGAAGTGGGAGATTAACTGAGAGGGGGACTCCATGACACTGTTTTCATGATGGGATGAGAGACGTCATGGTGATGTAGCTGCTGGGGTGGGGGGTATCCATGTTTATGTAAGTGACCTGACCTCCCCCAAGCTCTGGAATTAAACCCCATAAATTCATTGGCTTACTCAGATAAAACTGGGTGGGTTGTAACTTGGGTCTGTCATGGATGTCCTATGGTTGTTCTCATTTTCCCACGAAATGTTAAATGAACAGGTGCTTGCTGTCTGCTGCTCGTTGTACCACCCTTACTTGGTTATGCATGAGCTGATGCCTAGGGTGGTGTGTCAAGGGGTTCCATGAAAACTTTTCCGGCTTCCTTTCTTCCTGCTAGTCTGGGATGGTGTGGTACTAGTGGCGAACATGGTCGGAATGTATCATAGACTGCAGGGTAACAAGGAAGGGCTGATGTCATGGTGCTAGGGTGGAGGGCTAGATGTTGACTAGACCACCTGGGCCCTGAAGTTGGATGTACACATGTGGAACCAACCAGAAACAATTGATGTTACTTCCTAGAAAGAAAGAGACTCTTGTTTCTGCCCTGTGGCTTCCATCAGGAGAATCTGCCTGAGTTCTCTGAGGCTCTGACTTCCTTCCCTTTCGAGACTTGCATGCTTAAAAGATGTGCTCAACTTCACTGCTTCTGGGTTCCTCTTTGGGACTCAGTTGTCCTCTGAGCACACCTGTTCTTTTGCTGTTGTGTTGGCTCAGGACCATCTTCCAGCTCAGATCTCTTTCTGTGCCCAGCCTTCTTTGTCTAATCTGAATCACTTGCAGGCACTTATGTGGGGCTCCTCACGGGGCTCTAAGCTCCACAAGGTCAGAGAACTCAGTCTCTGGCTTGCTGTGGAGCCCTGCTGCTCTTCCCTGGGCTGAGCCACAGATGCTATCAATACTTGGTATTGTAGTAAGGTTTTAACTATTGGAATACCTGTCACATGGTGGTGACTTAAATGCCAGGGAAACTCATGTCTTTTCTGGGACACCTTGGACCTGGACCTCATAGGTGTAGGGACACACAGCATGGCAAACTGGATTGCCAGGGAGAGCGAACATGTCGTTTCTTTACAGAGGCTTCTACAAGGAAGGGTCTCCTCACTCTGGGCAGCACTGGAGACCCTGAAGTCATTCATCCTCAGCATAAAACTGTCCTGGGCCATGAAAACTATCCCGGCTCTAGCTACAAGATGCCAACTGTACCCAAAGCTCCAGATGTCACCCAAATACCTCAGTCACTGCCTAACATCTCCTACCCCAGCTGGCAGTTCTTGGCTCAGGACTCGCACACTGTGGGTACGTGACCCCTCTTGAGGCTTGCTCACCAGAGCCAGCCTCCAGGTACTCCTCAGTTGCTTACCACCTGCTTATACTAAGGAGGCCAGTGGGCTTTGAGCCACAGCAATCCATACCTTTCATTTAGAAACAGGAAAAGACTGGGCAAGTTGCTTCCTTCTTTTGCTTTCTGAATGATAAGTGAGAGACAACCCTGACCCCTTCCCTCCTGCCCATCAGCTCTTCTTCCCAGCCCTCTAGCATCAGGATGGTCCCTCCCTCCCTAACTGCGGTAAAGATTTGGCTAGTCCTGGTCACTAAGGAGCCTTGCTAATTCTTAGGCAATAAACATGTTGGCATGGAGGAAATAACTACAGGAAACCCTTCCTTTTAAGGATATCAGGTGGGAGGAGCAGAGGGAGGGTATTTCATAGACTGAAGGGCTTCTTTCAGCCCACATCTCGCTGGAACTTTCCACTGTGCCTGCAGCCTGATCACAGAGAGGATGTGAGGAGAGATGTCAGGATGGGGCTGCTGGGTGGCCAGCACAGGGAGGGGCCCTCAGGATATGGCTGTGGGTGGAGGTTCGGAATTAGGAAGAGAAAGCTAGGTGGATGGTGGACAGGAGAATTAGGCAGACATTTATTCCTTGGGGAAGCTGTGTGGAGAATTGGAGGGGGAAGAGTGGATGCCTGAGCCATGTCCAGGACATGTGAGAGCCCCAGTCTTATGATTTTGGGTGGGGTACTATTAACTAGCTCCAAGTTTTAAGGTTTTGTCTGTGCATCGCTTCTCCTAGGATGAACAGTTCCCACGCTATGAAGACCTGTGTGCTCATCCTGCTTGTGGCCCTACTGTGTGCAGAGAGAGGTGAGATGAAAAGGGCCTCAGAGTTGTGGGTACACTTGCATTCTCATTGTGTGTCCTGTGCCTGGGCTGGGAACCAGGTGTTCTGGGACCAGGGGATGCCCAGTGTGGATTGGTGTGTGATGGGTGAACTCTCATGGTCTGGGGTGGCTTCCTGGGCCTGTAAACCTGCCAGAACCTGCCTTGCAGCTTTCCCCACTTGCAAGTAGGGTCTTAGACTCCACTCCTTCCCGACCATGAGCAGTGGCCCCACACTCCTCAGGACCCATAGCCTCAGAAGGACGAACCCTACCATCCAGCCCCTTTCTCATTCCTTTCTTGAGGATCAGGCAAACCCTGGTCACCAAGGGCCCCTGTCCTCAGAGTACCCTGGTGCCGTTGCCTCCCAGCCATGCCACTGGCCTGTATGTGTACAAGGTGTCAGGGGCTTCTTTTCCTGGCCTAGCTGCCAAGTCAAGAACTTTGGCACCCCCCAACTTTTGGCATTCCTTACATTATTACATTTGACCTTATCTTACCCTTCAATCCAGCCACATGAAGACCAAAGGCTAGAACTTCCTTACTCTAAAAGGTTTTGAGTTCTCAGATACCCCTACACTTCCAGTTACATCTGTATTATGAGAGGTTTCATGATGAGCCCCAACTTTGCAGTTGGGTTCTGGGAAGTCCAGTGCCCTGTCATGCTCCAAGGCTCAGTCAGGGTCCAGCTCTGCAAATGTAGGGTGGGACAGGTCAGAACAGCCTTCCCCATCAGGAGGCCCTTGTCACGGCCTGGTACCTACTCCCTCATCCCCTTACCGCTTCAGCAGACAGGAGGTACAAATGTCCTTCTGCTATGGTGACTGTTTCTCTAACAACTCTTGGGGTCCAGGTCTCCCCTGTGGGGTTGGCTGGCTGGCTGAGACAGCAGTACTCAGCTTACTTGAAGAACTATGGTTCTTGGCTCCCTTCTGCTTTGGGTGGAGGTGCCTGAGGAGTGTCCCTGCTCTGTCCTATAGCCCAGCAGCTGTGTGGAGGTAAAGCCAGGTGCAGAAGAGGGGTCTGGGCTAGGAAGGGCATGCCCTGACCCTCATGTATTGGCCTGTTTCTTAGCCCAAGGGTTGCGTTGCTATGAGTGCCTGGGGGTCACACCTGGGACTTCTTGCCAACCAGCTACCTGCCATTACCCTGACGGGGTCTGCATCACTCAGGAGGTGGAAGTTACTGTGGGTGAGTTCCTTGTGGCATAGAGGAGGATGGGTTGGGGACGGCTTGGGAAGAAAGGTCTGGTCACTTATGGACCATAGTTGTTTATGGACCGTAGTTCTCTTCCCTCCAAGTAGGGTCCTCCTGTGGTTGGAGTGGGGCTCCTATAGGGGGAGCATGGTGGGGCCTGTGACCTGGAGTCCAGGTATGTGCTGGGAGGTAGAGTCTTTAGCAGGGCAGCCCCTATGGCATGCGTGGCTGTCACCATCCCCCCTCCACCACCAGTATTAGCCATGTGGCACTCCTGTCCTTTCCCTATGTTCAGGGTCTCACTGGCTCACTGAAGGAGTTGGAGAGCTGGGAGCATTTAGTAACTCTTTACTTATAATGAAGGAGTCAGGAGATTTATTCTAAAGGAATGACTTGGTAATTCTGAAGAAAAGGAGACCTCAAACCACATTAGATCCCCCAAAGTGTCAGTTTCCAGGCATCTCCTCCAGATAGACAAAGCAGGAGCAGCCCCACCCTGCTATCCAGTTTCCTCCGCCTTTCTGCAGCCGCCTGCATGGCTCCTAAGTCCAATTTCCGGGGAACAGCCTGAGTCTGAGAGGCTGGCTGACCTTTCTGTGCTCCTGGGTGATCCCTCATTGTGCCATGTCTTTGTGTATGTGGGTGTGTGTTTGCCTATGAGTGTGGGTGCACATGTGTGTGCATGTATATAAGGCCAGAGGACAGCCTTTAGTATCATTCCTCATGTACTGTCTACTTTTAAAAAAGATTTATTTATTTTATTTTATCCCAATGAATGCTTGGTGGATCCCCTGGAACTGGAGTTATGGATGGTTGTGAACCACCATGTGGGTCTGGGAACCGAACCCTGGACATCTATAAGAGCAACAAGTACTTTTTCTGCTGAGCTGTTTCTCCGTCCCAACCACCTTGTGTTTGAGACAAGCTCTTTCATCGGGACCTGGGATTTGCCGACTAGGCTAGTGGGGCTGGCCGAGAGCTCCTCTTTCCACCTCCTCAGCCCAGTCATTAGAAATATCACTACCATGCTGGCTCTCTGCATGGGTGCTGACGGTTGAACGTGGGTCCGTATGCTTCCGTGCGGCAAGCACTTTACTGACTGAGCTGTTTCCCTAGCACATTGTGTGTAAATGCATGTGTGTATGCATGTTCTCATGTGTGGGCACACGTGCACTAGTGGGTACAAGTGTTTGGAGCCCAGAGGTTGACACTGGGCATCTTCCTTGACAATTGTTTTATTTGCTGCGGCAGGGTCTCTCACTGAATCCCGAGCTTTCAGATTCAGCTAGTCTAGCCAGTGAGGGATTCCAATCTCAGGGATTCCCCATCTCTGCCTCATGAGCACTGAGATTATAAGTAGGCCACCATGTCTGCCCACCTTTTACATGGGTTCTAGTGATTGAAATTCCAGTCCTCACGCTTGCTCAAGGCAAGCATGTTATCCACCAGGCCACCTTACCAGACCATGGCTTTTTTTTTTTTTTTTCTGGGTCTCACTCTAGCCCAGGCTGGCCTAGAACTCCCCATGTAGCCCAGGTGGATTTGAACTCATATTAATCCTCCTGCCTTAGTTTTCCAAGTTCAGGGATTACAAGTGTGAGCCACCATGTCTGGCTTCAATGTGCCTTAGAGACAAGGCTGTGCCATCCTGGCATTTGGCGTGTGCCCCAGACTTTGGGGTGCTGAGTTGTCCATGCACACGCTGTGAAGTCTCTCCCTGGTGTCTTGCAGAATCTTACAAAGAGAAAAGAAAGAACAAGTTCTGCCTTCCCGTCTGCCCTGAAGATCAGAATCATCTTGGAAATATCCAAAATATCCCTTTCCTTGGTACCTCCGTCAGCTCCAAGCTTTCCTGTTGTAAGGGAGACCTCTGCAATGCAGCAGTTCCCACTGGTGGCAGCGTCTGGACCCTGGCAGGGGTGCTTCTGGTCAGCCTGGGGTCGGTCCTCCTGCAAACCTTGTTATGAGGGTCCTCCCTGCTACTCCCACCCCCATTTTTGTGTCCCAACATTTCATCACTCCTTCCTGGAGCCCTCTAGTGATGAATTGTGAGTTATAAAAACCCTGAGGTGGGCCTTAGGGTGTGGGCCTCCTTGCTTCAACTTTATATTCCCTGCTGGGTAGGTGTCCCACCCCCTCGCCAGGTCTTTCAGATCTGCATCTCCAGCATGCCATTTTGTTGTGGCTTGCTGTCCTTGGCCCTGGAGGCATGTGGACAGTCCAGGGAAGGGGTGGGATTCCAAGGCTTTGTGCCACCACTGTCCACACATAAATCTCTGGGCTCTTGCAGGCTTCCCACACACATGCTGCTCAAAGCCCTCCAATAAACTCTTTGATCTCCCAGCCAAGAAGTCCACTTTCCTTTTGCCGCATGGAGTCTACTGAGTCCTGACTGCTGGCCCACATCTCTGCCCTTTCAGCCAGCCCCATAGCTATCTCATGTTACCCAGCTCAGAGTGGGGGTATCCCTTGGTTTGGATGGGCTTCCCTCAGAGCTGATACTGGGGACAGAGAGAGGGTTTCTCCATTTCTCAGGAGCACTTGTTTGTGCTGGGGAAGGGGTCTGCCAAGGAGATGAGCCCTCAAAGGTGAATAGGCGCTGCCCTGCCAGATTCTTTTAGTTCAGAGGTAGAAGCTATTTACTGCAGGGGCTCGTGGCCTGGCTTAGAGCAACCAAAGACTCACTGTGCCTCTTCTGGAGTCCCAGTCTATATTGGATGCTACCACTGGGAAGGCCTGACTTGACACAGTGGGATAACCAGGGATCCATCATTGCTCTGTCCTTCTGTCCTTGAGAGGTTACTGCCCAGAGACAATCAGAACCCATATGGTTAACACCACAGGAGTCCTCATGGAATATGGGCAGCACCCTGGAAACTTGTGTGCTGTGAATATTACTCCCTGCCCTTGAAGGTCCTGAAGATCTGAGATTTTTTATCAGAGTGAAGATCCTGTGAGGTAGGGCTATTACCCAACTAGGGAAGCCCTTGTCCCTGCAGCCTCCTGCCCTGGGACAAGCATAGATTCAGGAATGTGGCCCAGGTGCTGGCTGGGACATAAAATTTGAGTAGGGATTCTGGAACTTTTCTTCCAGAAGGCCTTGTTTCTGTTGCAGTTTCTTCTGGCTTCCTGCCTCCAAAGTGCTAGGTTTATAGGTAGGTAACTAAGGAAGATAGGGCCTATAAGGCTAAGAGATGAGTCAACCTGGAGTCTGCCTGAGGGCCTAGCAACAGGCACTGTCAGAGGCCCTGATGGTGCCTAGCCAATGAGGGGTGACCATACAATGTCACTGGATCAGGATGCAGCCTGGGTACTGGGAGGATGGTATATAAGGCTCTCCTCACTGCTGAATAAATGAGTCTGCTGTTTACCTTTCACCTGAGTCCTAGTGTCTGTGCCATTGATGCCACGTCTTCTCACCCCCATCCCCTGAGGGAGCCGTTAGGACCCAGCAACATCTGGCACCCAAATAGATTCTGGTCATCTCCCTCCCCTCACTCATGGCACAGGACAGTGCCCCCAAGATGGTGTGTTTTGGTTTGAAGGACCTTTTATGTTGTGTGTTTTTGGTCCCTTTGGCAAGGTAAGTGTAGGGACCCCCCAACCCCGTTTTTTCTTTCATTCTTTTGTGTTGTCTGTCATGTTTGTCTGCCCATCTGGTTAGGAAGGCATGTTTTTTTTTTCTGTTTTGGTTTGCCCGGCACCTCCACATAAGGGCTGATCCCCCAAGAGGCAAAATCAAGGCTCCGCTCCTGAATATCATCCGTCATCTGGAGACACTGTATGGATACACTGCCATGGCCTGAAAAACCACAGAAGTCCCCCACTAAGCATAAAACATAATGGTCTGACACAATTTTCCACCCCTCTTGGCTGCCATCTTCTCTCTGACTGTTGCTTGCCTGCTGTCTCCCTCTACAAAATGGGTAACCTCTCCATCACCTCCACCCCTTCCATGTCTGATCTCTCTACGGCATCCGATGATGAGGAGGAAGAGGCAGACAATTCAGGCCCCTCGAAACCTGCTGAGGAGAGCATGGCCACAGTTAAGAACATATGTGCCGCTTTCTTGTCAACCCCACTCCCGCCTCAGGAGGCTGCACCTCCACCACGGTACCCTTAGAATTGAGTGCCTCAATATCCACCTGCCCCTGAAGGTGGAAATTTCCTCGTGCTGAGGTATGCCCCCCAGGCACCACAGCCCACTCCTCCTATCCCCTCACCCCCCGGTCTCGGGCCTCAAAGGCCAATGGAAGCCTTTCCAGTCAACCTGGGACAAAATGCCACTAGCCAGCCCTGGATTCCCAACCCCACAGCTGAACTCTCCCTTATCTGGAAGTTGGGCCCAGATTCACCTGTTGCCCTGGCTAACGGGGTGTCAATGGGGGGCGACCCACCTGCAGGAGAGAATGAAAGGGATGAGGAGACACGAAGGAAGACAGCAAGACAGGGTTCTGATCAAGCTGCAAATTTTATTCTCCTCAGCAAGGCTTATATAGCATGGGAGGGGGAGGGGGCTGGAAGGAGGGAAGGGGTGCAGAATGTGCAGGACATGTGGGTCGTGAAGCTGCAGGATGTTGTGCTAGGTGGTAAGGTCATTGGTCAGGGCCCATTGTCCTGTTGCTATGCTACCTGACCGCGGGATGTTCTTTATCTTTGGGGGCATCTGGTTTAGGGCCTGTGGCTTGTTCTCTGGCCTAGCTAGTACTTTTCCATAGTTCTTGTTTGGTCCCTGACAACCTTACTTCAAATACACCCTCACTCAATGGGCAATGCAACTACAGACTTACTTTGATTGATATAATATAGTCTGCTAAAAAGCTGTGCTGGAGCCAGCTGCCTTTCTTAGCCAGAAATCAGCTTACAATAACCAAGAAGATGCTCAAGCGTGAACGAACTTCTTAATGTTCCAGGGACCCTTGACATGTTCACTGAATGAGGTAACTTTGTCCATCATGTCCATCAGGCACAGATTGGCCATCCAGCCTACTACCAACAGATTTCTGACCTGGCCTTCAAGGCTTTAAGGCATGCACCTCCCATGACCCTTCAGTTTACTTCCACAATCTTATTCAATAGCCAGGGGAACTTTTTACTGATTTTCTCTCACATGTAAATGAGGCAGTGGAGTGGAGAGTAGACTTGGATCCCACTAGGGAAATGTTAATCAAACAATTGGTTTGGGAAGGGCTTAATGCCCTGACCCACAATATGGTCATAGTGATCTCTCATACCACTGGCATTCCCTATAATCCTCAGGAACAAGCCATCATGGAAAGAGCCAACAGAACTCTTAAAGGCCATCTTGCCAGAGGCAGAAAGGGACACCCATTTGGCCCTAACTGAAGTCCTTTTCCATATAAATTTTCTCAGCTTTGATGAGGCAGGACTCAGACCAGCATATAAACATTGGGCATTCCTGCCCCAGGGAACACCTCTACCCCAGTAAGATGGATAGACCCTATCTCCCTCCAATGGCAGCCACCAGCTCCCCTGATGACCCATGGGAGAGGGTATGCTCATGTTTTTCCTCAGAGTACAACTATGTCAATATGGGTTCCAACAAGAGATGTGTATCCCACCACAGACCAGCCCACCTTCACCAAAGAAGAATTGGTCATGGATGGGTAATGTACATACTCACCACCATTGCCCCTTTCATTCCCTCAAAAGCAGATGATCTATAGACTCTGGTTCCCTTGCCTCCCATTCTGTTGCCAGTGGCAATTAACTCCCCTGCTTTCCCTATGATGTTTACCACCAACTCTTCCCTAGGCCTCCACTTTATGAACCTGGTACTGACCAACAAAAAATTGGAGGATGACTGGTCTGTGGAGGAAGCCCTTTGCATTACCCTCCCTTTTTTTTCTCTCTCTTGTCCAATGCCTAAGAAATAGAATTAGTAAGAGGCATGTACCTACTGGCCTGTGATCCATGCTTCCAGGCAATTTGCCTCACTTCCTAATTATTCCATTCTACTCCAGAAACAAATATGACCAGGGTCCTGGTGATGTCATTGGAGACAGATTATTTATTTATTTATTTATTTATTTATTTATTTATTATGTATACAGCATATGTGACTGCGTGCCAGAAGAGGACACCAGATCTCATTACAGATGGTTGTGAGCCACCACGTGGTTGCTGGGAATTGAACTCAGGACCTCTGGAAGAGCAGTCAATGCTCTTAACCTCTGAGCCATCTCTCCAGCCCCAGATTTTTTTTAAAACTAAAGTCTGGGACAACTTTAAAAGGCTATTTGACCCCGCTTGTATGCTCACATATGCTTTGATTGGCGGGTGATACTGTTAATCCTTATTCTCTTTATATGCCTCCTGCAGCACATCCGACAGCAGCAGGCGGTGACTAAGGCCATTTTTCAAATTTTAATGGTTCTTAGATATCCTGCTTATAGCCCTCCACAGGAGGTTATGCATGCCTGGTTCTCTGAAATTCAAAAGGCTACTGCCTAATCCTCTCCACCTGGGTGGCTCTCCAGGAATGGATGTCTTCAAGGGCTAGTAGTCAATGACAGGTAAGAGCTTGTTAGGTAAGCCAACCTAAGACAGGCACAGTCCAGTTGATGAACATTCCTTAGGTGGGGTCAAAAAGGCCTGAGCAAAGAACTCTGGCTCTCACTGAGTGTCCATGTAATTAATAAAAAAGAGTGGATATGTAGTAAGATAAGGCCTACAAGGCCAAGAGATGAGCCAACCTGGGTGCTGGGAGGACGGTATATCAGGCTCTCCCCATTGCTGAATAAATGGGTCTGCTGTTTCCCTTTTACCCGAGTCCTGGTGTCTGTGCCCTTGATGCCATGCCTTCTCACCCCCTCCCCTGAGGGAGCCCTTAGGACCCAGCAATAGTGTAATACCTCCCAGGCAATTCTGTATGTTTTAGAAGTTCGGATTGTTCACTTTAAAAACTGTGATGCCGCTGAGTGGGGCATATCCAATCAAAACAAGGGAATGTGTCAGGGATCCTCAAGAAGAAGAGCCATCTATGCATCTGTGAAGCCCTGCTTCAGTATGCACAGAGACACATGTTGTGATGTTTTGTTTGTGATTTAACAAAGAAAGCTTGCTTGAAGATCAGAGTGTGGAGCTAAGCCACTAGTTAGCCATAGAGGCCAGACAATGATAGCACATACCTTTAATCCCAGCACTCAGGAGGCAGAGACAGACAGATCTCTGTGAGTTCAAGGCCACCTGGGCTACACAAGATTGATCCAGTTTAAAAGAGAAACAGGGCTGGAGAGATGGCTCAGAGGTTAAGAGCACCGACTGCTCTTCCAGAGGTCCTGAGTTCAATTCCCAGCAACCACATGGTGGCTCATAACCATCTGTAATGAGATCTGGAATCTCTCTTCTGTATACATAATAAATAAATCTTTAAAAAAAAGAGAGAAACAAAGCCAGGCAGTGGTGGCACACACCTTTAATCCCAGCACTTGGGATTTTATGCCTTTAATCTCAGCACCAGGGTGGTGGATACAGGAAGTGATATGGCTGGGCAGAGAGAGGAATATAAGTCAGGAGGAGACAGGAGGAGCTCAGGCTCTTTCAGGCTGAGGAGTTGGCGAGGTAAGAGGTGGTAGCTATGGCTTGTTCTTTTGTCTCTCTGATCTTTCATCATTTACCTCTATATCTGACTCTGGGTTTTTATTATTAAGAACAATTAGGATTCGTGCTACACACACACACAGACAGAGACAGAGAGATAGAGACAGACAGAGACAGAGAGAGACAAAGAAGAGAGAGAGAGAGAGAGAGAGAGAGAGAGAGAGAGAGAGAGAGCATACTTCTCTGGTGTGCATGCCTTGTGGTTCCCCCATGAATCAATTTCTTAGGTCCTGGGAAAGAAGTGCATTTAGAAGTCCAAAGGCACTCACTCTGCTTTAGGTCTTGACACCTGGTGACAATTTTAATATCTGTTATTTGATATTAAATAACTCAGGTACTCAGGTCATAGCACAGGCCTTAGGAACAAGTGAGACCTCTGACCCATGTGGCTGCTAGCCAAGCATAGCCTCATGCTGCCCACAATGGACTGATCATGCCTGCTTGCATCTGACTGCTCCTGACCTAACAGCACATGGGCAAGTCATCATACACCCATGTCTTGACCATAGCTGTCTTGAGTAACAAACATAAAGAGGGCAAAAAGGGTCTTGTGAAGACAGATAAGCACTGGAGAAGCCAGGAAATTGAACACACCACTCACCTCTCCAGTGGAATGGAGTGCTTAGTGTTCTTCCTGGAATGCTGAGAACAGATGTAGTTTGCAATCCAGTGATCCTTTGCTGTCTGATGAGACAGCCTCAGCCTGTATCTTCCAGAATTTATGCTTTACTTATCCCAAATCCTTTCCTCTTAAAACCTTGAGCATTACTTCCAGGCCATAAAACTCATCCTTGTGAGAGATGTCATTTGTACTTTACAACAGCCTAAGTGACTTCTATGTTATCTTAAGGCCAGGCATGTTTACCTCAGTCATTCTCCCCAGACCCTTAGCTTAAACATTGTTTCTAAGTCAGCAAGAACCCATCTTAGGGATGAAGCCACATGTACTTTGCTAAGAACTTCAATGTAAACATGAAACAAGCTTTCTTGTACTCACAGGGCTGAGCTAATTGTTATTTGAATACTTTTCACAAAATTGTGCTGTGTTTAAATAGGGCTAATGTAAAATGATCTGGGCCATACTCTAGAAGTCCTGGTCCAGTGCTGGTTACAATAAAATCGGGCTGAGCTGAGTTTCATTCTTGTCTCTTTGTGAATCATATTTTTCCTGCCTGCTCTAAAGCCTGCAGGGATACACACACACACACACACACACACACACACACACACACACACACACACACGGTGGGGGGAGATTTAATAGATAAGTAATTGTAATCCGAAGGTCATCTTGAGGGGTACTTATGTGAGGAAGAATTAGGGCAGAGGTGTTGCATGAATCCTAATTGGTTTTATAATAAAAACCCGGAGCCAGATATTGGAGTAAATGCTGAAAGATCAGAGGAAACAAGCCACAGCTACTTCTTACCTCGCCAACTCCTGAGCCAAAAAGGGAAGATACTGTCTCCATGAGTCCTCAGACTGAAAACCCCCGAGTCCTCAGCTGAAAGGGCATCAAAATCCTGTCTCCTCCTGTTTTATATTCCTGTCTCTGCCCAGCCATATCACTTCCTGTCTCAACTTTCCTAGTGCTGGGATTAAAGGAGTGTGACTCCCAAGTATTGGGATTAAAGGTGTGTGCCTCCACTGCCTGGCTCTGTTTCTCTTTTAGACTCAGTTAATCTTGTGTAGTCCAGGGTGGCTTTGAACTCACAGAGATCAGGTTGGATCTTTGCCTCCTAAGTGCTAGGATTAAAGGTGTTTGACACCATTGCCTGGCTTTTATGTTTAATCTAGTGGCTGGCTCTCTTCTCTGATTCTCAGGCAAGCTTTATTTGTTAGAGTACAAACAAAATGTCAACACACAGAGGTGAGAGGCGTGCACAGTTAAGCAGTCCTGGCCCAAGTGGGGTTTAGCTGAGCACTATCCCAATTCTTCAAGGCTATCCTGTCAGTGGCAGTAGGAGCCTGAGAACTCCCATTGGTTTTTTTTTTAGGGACCTCCAATGGGGTAAAACCAGATCCTTGGTCTTGGTGCAGAAAGGAATTTTAGGATGGGCCTGAAATTAAAAGCAGAAAGAAAAGTGTTCAGGAAGAGAATGGGTGTGGGCTTCCCAGGGGTAAGTGGTGTAAGCAGAGCAGCGGAGCCATGTGTTCCATTTTGATGGCCCTCAAGTCATATCTCAAATTCTTGCTAAGAACTCCTTTCTTTCTTTCACTTTTTTTGATGAGTAAGATTAAAAGGTAGCTCTGGATGGTATTATACTTTGATAAAATAAAACCAGGAGCCACTAGGGTTGCACAGGGGTTCTTTTATTGCAAATGAGATTTCTGGCAAGGGTCCCAAGAACCTGCAGGTTTTCAGTAAGAAAGGGAGAAAGGCCATAAACTAATGTTCATTGCCTTGGAATTCTTTAAGAAAGATTTACTTTTATTTTATGTGTACAAATGTTTGTCTGCATGTATGTATATACACCATGTGCACGTGCATGCATGCATGTGGTGTCTGAGGAGGCCCAAAGAGGCCGTTGGATCACCTGAAACTGGAGTTACAGAGTTATTTGTAAACTACCATGTGGATTCTGGGAACTGAACCCAGGTCCTCTGCAAGAGCAGCCAGTGCTTTTAACTGTGGAGCTCTTGCTTCTCAGCTGGTGAGAAGTCCCCATAGTTATCCCTACCCTTTTTTTCTTGCCTCAGTGGAAAGAAGTTTTTGCTGTCATGACTCAAAGGGACAAGCTGGTTCTCCTAAGATGACTTCTGGTCCTCAGGCAGCCTCAGCAGCATAGATTGCCATCTTCGTTTGGCGATGGGTTCAGATCCTTGTCATAATGATGTTGATGGACGAGTGCTGGTGTTCCTCAAATCCAAGGTGACTAGGTTCAGGACTATGATGGCTAATCTTGGTTGTCAACTTGGCTACATCTGGAATCAACTAAAACCCAAGCATATGGGCATGCCTGTGAGGGATTTCTTGACTGGATCATTTGATGTGGGAAGACCTACCCTAAATCTGGGCCATACCTTCTGGTGGAAGCCTGTATCAAGGACTTGTAAGAAAGAGACTTGCTTTTTACCTGCTTGTCTTCACCAGCTAGGTGAGTTCCAGTCAGCGAGTGATTCTATCTCAAAAGTAGGACTGCCCCTGAGAAATGAAATACTAGAAGTTATCCTCTGACCTCCACACAAAATCCTATGCACATGCACTCACATACATATAAACACACCACATAAAAATACACTTATCTTTAATATTATTAGTAGATATAAAATCTTTTACTAGAAGGTTGGTGTATTTGGGTTCCTTCTAGGTCTGTCTGTTGATGTTCATCCTTGTTCTGCTCATGGAAATAACTGCTTTCCCCCCCCTCACTGATCAGAAGTGTTATTACAATAGGATTATATTAGCTGGGTATGGCGACTCACACCTATAGTCCTAGCCCTACGACCATCAGAGGTAGGAGGATCAAGGTTGGCGAGTGCACACAGTATCTTCTAGTCCCATGGTGCTGCAGTGGGAGGCCTCCCTCCTGTGCCTAGCACCGGGACTGAGGAGGTGGGAGCAGTGAGAAGCAGGAGTGGAGGGCCAGCCTGGACTACATAAGACCCTGTCTCAGAGAGACAGAGAGACAGAGACAGACAGAGAGATATTCCCCTGGTTTTCTGTTATTTTTATATTTGTTGTAACCTCTTTACAACTTGCTTTTTTTTGTCTTTGAGTTTTGGTGTTTTGGGTTTCTGGATGGCAAACTCATCTATTTGATTGCTGAGGCGGTGATTTGCTGGTATCAATGCCTACTTCTTCGGGATTCCAAAGTACACAGAGGAGCAGCTGAGATGTCCAGCCTCATGGACTGAAAAACTACCAGCTTCTTGGACTTTCCACTAGGAGACAGCCAAACCACAGCCTGTAGGCTCCTCTAACAAATTCCATATACATGTTCATTCAACCAGTTCTCTAGAGAACCCTGACAAATACACTGTATCTCCAAGCAGGCCAGACAAAGTTGTGCTGTGGGGTATTCACCAGAGAAGGCTGCTAGGACATGGGTATAAGACAATAGAAAGTCTTTAGCCAGCCAGCAATTACATTGAGTGTTCAGGTTCCCAGTGTGGCACTGAGCCTTTCTCAGGGTGAGTTTTTAAGCTGTTCTGGATTGACATACTTCAGTTAATAAGAACAGTTAGCCAGAAGCAGAACTACAGAAGCCAAAAAGCAAGGTTAGAGACTTTCCCAGAAGTACGGACTTTTGATGAATTAGGCTTTTGTTTTAGTTTTAGCAGGTGGTGCTGTCTACATGATGAATTTTAAAGCCCAAATGGTACTTTTATTATGGAGTCAGTGGTGTTAAGGTCTGAGGCCCTGTTACAGTTAACCTGAACAAATCCTGTTGTGATCTGTCTTGGCTTCCTGACAGGCACATAAGAAGTCCACTTGTCAATGAATAACTCAGACTCTTAGAAGTTTGACACCCTAATGAGCTATGTCTGCCTTACTCAGAGAGTCAGTCCTGAGAGGAGACGGTCCTCACTCCTCAGCAAGATCCGGAGGTATCTACCCAGATGTGAGCTCCACACCTGTCTATCCCTAGAAGATCGACCCAACAGGGCACTGTGACATTCAGATACCACCCAACTGCTTCAGTAGAACCCTGCACCCTGCAAGAGCAACACGTTGGAATGCTTCTGCACAATGTCTCTTTACCATTCAGCCTATGGTGGCATGCCTGTGTCTCTAATACACCCTTTACTTTTACCTTTTTGTCTTGGTGAATTCTTTCATGGACCACATGTCACCAGCCTGTCAATACCATTCCTGTCATAGCAGGGACAAACATAGATTCCTGTTCCCTACCTGTGGTAGTTTGAATGTAATTGGTCTCCATAATCTCATAGAAGTGGCACTATCAGGAAGTGTGGCTTGTTGAGATGGGTATGGCCTTGTTGGAGGAAGTGTGTCACTGTGGGGGCGGGCTTTGAGGTTTTCTATGCTCAGAATACTGCTGAGTGTGTCAGTTGACTTCCTGTGGCCTGCAAGATGTAGTACTCTCAGCTACTCCAGCACCACATCTGCCTGATGCTGCCATGCTCCCCATCACGACGGTAATGGACTGAACCTCTGAAACTGTAAGTGAGCCACTTCAATTAAATGTTTTCTTTTTTTTTTTTTTTTTTTTTTTTGGTTTTTCGAGACAGGGTTTCTCTGTGTAGCTTTGCGCCTTTCCTGGAACTCACTTGGTAGTCCAGGCTGGCCTCGAACTCACAGAGATCCGCCTGGCTCTGCCTCCCGAGTGCTGGGACTAAAGGCGTGCGCCACCACCGCCCGGCTAAATGTTTTCTTTATAAGGGTTACTGTGGTCATGGTGTCTCTTCACAGCAATATAATCCCTAACTAAGACACTGCCCATCCTATCCAAGGTTAGAAGCCTTTTTTCCCTCCCATGGTGTTTTTGAATAAAGATGCTTCTGGTTTATAGACTTCAGTGGTCTGTTCCCCATTATTTGCAAATTTCCAGGACCCAACATTGCTTTGTGGTGAACCAGAATTAGACATTCCAGGATTAGGAGCTGAGTCTACAACAGCTCTCCAAGCAGTGCCCTCCACCTGAGAACCAATTTATCAAACATATGTTATCATTTATCTAGATTCTCTAGAAGCTTGGTATTGAACACTTGGCAAAGACATAAATACTTAGGTGTAAATCTCTAAGCCAGTTTTTGTTAGTCTGAATAGATCCTTATAACCTTAAAATTTTAACATCATATTCAACCAGAGTTGAATCGTATATACAGTATGTTGTAACAAATATAACCTTATATTCTTATTATCATATAAGAGTCTATATCAATTCAGAATATTTGAGACTCATTGCTTCCTTGGTTTAAAAGGAGATACAATGAACAGAAAATTCATTAGGACTAAAAAGTGTCATATGATATGTATTTTTTAATTTTTGTAAAGATGGTTGTCAACCATGTGGCCACCTACATCCTGATAAGGTCACCAGCCAAGATGGAGGAGAGCCATGTGGTTGCTATTTAAAACATGTATGTTTTTTTAAACAATAGTTGGATCTAAGTAGTTATAAGCATATATATGTAGAATTAAATCCAGCTTACATTTATATGTATGTGTGTGTGTGTGTAGAGAGAGTTAAATCTAAATCATATATGTGCATATACATAATATATATTTTAAACAGGGTTGAACAATATATATATATATATATCCCCATGTATAGAATTTTAATTATAAGCCTTTTGCTATAAGTTTAAAGCCAAATTTTGTTACAAATTACATAGTTTTAAAACCATACCCAATGAGCAATCTACAAGTCCTGAGATAAGAGCTGATAGCATAATCTTAAGATATTATTATTATTTTTGATCTTTATATAGTGTATTATTATGGAACATATCAGTTTCTTTTATGACTCAGTTTATCAGAATAGATATAGCTTTAAAAAGCTAGCAAAAACAAGGGGGTTAGACACATATATATTTTAAGTCAACGTTTGTTTGTATAAATAAACCTTAATTAAAGAGAGACATTTTTGGTAGCCCAGGCTGGCCTTGAACTCACAGAGATCCGCCTGGCTCTGCCTCCCAGTGCTGGGATTAAAGGCGTGCGCTACCACCGCCCGGCTTAAGAGAGACATTTTTTAAGCTAGTGGTTCCAAGTTGTCAGATGGCTTAGGTTACCATCTTTTATTAATTTTTGGCCTCATTTCATAATAGCTTAAGCAACTGAACAATTAGCTATCTTAGTAAGTCTGTAAGGTATTTGTCCATTCTTAATAAAATATAAATTTTAAAATGTCCCATAGCTTTATAAATTTATATGCTGATATTATTTCTTTAAAATATCTAGTTTTTGTTTGTTTGTTTTTACTTAAAGGAAGAGAAAACGGGGTACAACCATGATCTATATAAGGCAAAACCAAGTTGCTCCAAAAGTGTAAACAATCCAAAGCGCTAGATCTGGGATTTATTCACAGTCTTGGCTTTTCTCAGGGACTTGATCACCTCTTTGGCCCCATACACAGCCTGCTCTGCCTGTTTCTCATGATCTCTTCATGCCTTAAAACCATCATCACCGTCAGGCGGTGGTGGCGCATGCCTTTAATCCAGCACTTGGGAGGCAGAGGCAGGCGGATTTCTGTGAGTTCGAGGCCAGCCTGGTCTACAAAGCGAGTTCCAGGACAGTTGGAACTGTTACACAGAGAAACCCTGTCTCAAATAAATAAATGAATGAATAAATGAATAAATAAATAAATATTTTTTAAAAATCACCTGTGTGACTCTTAAATTACAAAGTTTAGCTGCCAGAGTCAGGCATATTTTTGCATATACAAGCACAGAGGTGCAGCTTTAATATTTTATCAAACAAGCATTGTTTAGATCCTATTTTTTTTAAGCCAGTTTTTTTTTTTTTTTTTTTTTTTGGTTTTTCGAGACAGGGTTTCTCTGTGCAGTTTTGCGCCTTTCCTGGAACTCACTTTGTAGACCAGGCTGGCCTCGAACTCACAGAGATCTGCTTGCCTCTGCCTCCCGAGTGCTGGGATTAAAGGCGTGCGCCACCACCGCCCGGCCAGTTTTTTTTTTTTTTTTTTAACAGCATAAAACATTTTTTAAAAGTCTCTATTATAGCAGACTCAGTAGGAGCTGCAGCCAGGACTCATTGAACATAGTTGGCTTTTACATTTAGAAGCAAATGTTAGTGGTCACATTCATGCATTCAGACCAAACAAAACTTTTCTTACTTTCTCCAGCTGAAATTTTAGGCAGGGGAGGGGTGGTAGGCCGTTTCCTGATAAAACTACTCCTGCGCGCCACAACTCGACCCTCATGTTTCCTGCTACACAGCTTTGGAGCATGTTTCATTTTGTGAGATCTAAAAATATTTTTATCCAGAAGAAGTGGATGGCAGCGGCCGCCCGCTAGGTGCTCGGCCTCTCTGGCCAGGGACTGAGGTACCTGCTGGGGAGGAGCTATCCTCTAGGCGGCCAGCACAGCACACCCTGCTGACACAGACTGGAGCCAGCTGGGCTGCAGTGGAGAGCTGGGGATGCCTGAGGCAGGGAGAGGCAGAGAAGGCTGGCAAAAAACCACTGCTGCGTTCCTGAAATCCTGGAAATGAGAGAGAGCAAGATCCAAAAGGGGCCTGAGGCTTAGAGGAAGCTTGGCTCAGGGTAGACATTAATTTACTGACAATTACCACAAAGAGACTGACAATAGACAACACAATTAGACAGAATTGACAAGGCATACAGAAGGAAGAACCCTGGGCTCAGGGTCATAGGGCTCCCAAAACCAGTCCCGAAGTGCCACAAATGGGCAACCCAACTGCCAGAGAAGGAGTCGAAGTGTCCCCCTCCGGCTCAGAGGTCTTTGGCACATCCGCCTACTCTTTTTCGAATTTTCCATCTGTCTGGACACCAGATACAGAAACCAGAGAAAAACTTACCAGTCAGCCAAACCCAGTAGAATAAAGTTGCCAGAGACTGGGGTGCCTTCCCAGAATTGAGCAGATCCCCGGGTGGGCCACCAAAATGTTGGGTCCTGGAATTGCAAAAATAACAGGGAACAGACCACCGAAGTCTATAAACCAGAAGCATCTTTATTCAATGCGGGGGTAGGGGGAGGCTTCTAACTAGTTAGGACTACAGAGAATTATTTGACTCTGTAGCCCTGAGAAAGGGCTATAAGCTCCTTTTTATAGCCAAAGGCTATACACAGGGCAGAGAGTACGTATTGGGATTTACCGCATTTTGGGTGTCTAGGTGTCTTGAGACCTCTGAGATTTCTGAGATAGGAGGGGATCCAGGACTTATGACTTTTGATTACGGGGTGTTCATAATCACGGGTTTGTTTAAATTGCCTTTCCCTTGCCTGGGAGAATGCAGGGCAAAGGATCCAAGTGACTATCAGTCCTAATACACTCAGAGATATGCGTATAGGCTACAAGCTTACATTTTTTTTTCATATTCCTGAGCTCTTCAGCAGCAACTCCTCCCTAGGGCCAGAGGCTGTATTCAGTGGTACTTGGAGTATTGCTCAAGGGCTCTGTCCTCTGGCCACAGGTGCCTGCCTCCTCTCTTGTGCAGCGACTTGGAGGGAGCCTGTGGTGGTTTGAAAGAAAATGACCCCCAAAGGGACTGGTACCATTAGAAGGTGTGGCTTTGTTGGAGTAGGTATGGCCTTGTTAGAGAAAGTGTGTCATTGTGGAGGCAGGCTTTGAGGTCTCATATATGCTCAATCCACGCCCAGTGAGATAGACCACTTCCTGTTGCCTGCCTATCATCATGTAGGACTCTCAGCTCCAGCATCATGTCTGCCTGCATGCCACCATGTCACACCATGATGATAATGGACTAAACCTCTGAAAATGTAAGCCACCTCAATTAACTGTTTTTTCCTTTATAAGAGTTGCCATAGTCACAGTGTCTCTTTATAGCAATAGAAGCCCTAACTAAGACAGAAGTTGGCACAGGCAATTTGTGATAGGCCTGACCATGCTTTTGTCTGAAGGAATATAGACCTTGGGACTGTGGATTAGAAAAGCAGTTGAGGCCAGTCTCCTGTCTGTACAGATCTCCAGACCTCTATAGTTAACTAGTGGCTAGCTCCACCCTCTGATCTTCAGGAAAGCCTTACTTGTCAGAACATAAACAAAATATCACAACATTTCCCCCTTTGTGTCTAAAGTAAGAAGAGAAGGTTATAACTAATAAAGAAAAACTATATACAATAAGTACAATAACTATATACTACATATACAGGCACTAATTACATCAACAATGTCTAGTCCATTAACATTTGACAAATTCAGGGAAAATACTCCATTTTCTAGCCTATCTTGGTGAGTCCAAAGGGTTGTGCCTAATTCACCTTCTATCCTAATTTGCATTAACAACCCAAAACTATCTTTTGATGTCTTTCAACCCTTTTCTGAGTCTGGTAACAAGGAAAACTATAACTACAACTATCTAGTCTGCAACCTCATCAGAGACCTGAGAAGGCTATAATATTACCTGTGTAAACAGGAAGTGCAGGCAAGCAACTTCCAAAAAATGAGAGAAATGACAGAAACAGCTGGCTGCCTGGATAGTCACCAAAGTTTCCTCTGTAACATTGGAGCATCCGTCTTCAGCCTACAGGCAGGCCTAGTATCTGACAGATTTTTCTGTGAAGCAGAATATTCTGAAGGGCTGTCCTACCTTGTCTTGGCAAAGTTTGGCAGTCACTTTCTTTTGTGTTCTGCTTGTCCAATTTACACAGCATACTGTCAACAGTCGAGGCAAGGGCACTTTCTTGCCTAGTGGCTAACTTTTGCCACAAAGAAAGTAAACTCCATATGGAGTGTCTTCAATGTCCATCATCTTCTCTGAATTAGATTGGTACTGCCAGGAGCAGACATGTCTCTTATCATTAAAAAAAAAAAGAACCTATGTTATTAAAATATCTTAAATGATATATTCTGTAGATCTCTGAAGTGTTTGAAGACAACCTATCTATCTAAAATAAATCTGTTTGATATAAACCTATTACTACTACAAGTTTGATTGTAATAGGTGACTAACTACTAACCTGAATTTTTATTATCCTAAATAGTTTGTAATAATAACTTTCAAGTACTTGAAATTGGCATTACATTGTTAAATGAGCCGTATAGGTACAATACCTTGAATAAGGGCAGAAATGTATGTACAGTATGTTCTAACAAAAATAACCTCAAATTTGTATCAATATACAAAAATCCAAGCCAATGCAAAATATGTAAGATTAATAGTTGTTTTTTTTGGATTAAAATAGATTCAATAATCTACCCTTTTTTCCCATCATAATAATCTATCCTTTCCCCCATCATTTCTGTATCATATCCCCATTTCTTCTTTTAGAAAGAGATTGACTATAACCAATAACAAATTGTAACCTACCCCCCTTAAATGAAAACAAACATTTATAACCAATATTTTGGGAATGTGAGTGTAGTTCTTTAGACTTACTTCCTGTTGATTGGGGGTGCTGACAATCTTTGGGGGACCCTGAGAAAATTTAGGATTATGGTCAAGTCCTAACTGGAATATTCTGTGAGGCTGGTTCATCTCAGTCAGCAACCTTGAAGCTGTTCTGGATGCAGAACTCAGAGGAAACTCCAACAGATGCACTCTGAAATGCTGGATCATCGGGGCCATCCATTCCCATCGGAGATTTTTCAGGGGTTCTTCCTCGATCAAACCTGATTTTCTTAACCCAGAATGAATCCAGAGCCTCTCATATCCTGTGGAAATAAAAGCAGATCCTTTTTTCCAAAGTAATGTATCTTTTGACTTAAATTTTAAAGTCAAGATATTTTTAAAATATATAGGTTCATTTAATCTATCAGCTTTCATAATCAAATGTCTCTCAGCAATTATCATTTGCTCATTAGCTGTCAAAAAATTTAAAGGCAGCCGGGCGGTGGTGGCGCACGCTTTTAATCCCAGCACTCAGGAGGCAGAGCCAGGTGGATCTCTGTGAGTTCCAGGCCAGCCTGGGCTACCAAGTGAGTTCCAGGAAAGGCGCAAAGTTACACAGAGAAACCCTGTCTCGAAAAACCAAAAAAAAAAAAAAAATTTAAAGGCAATACAATAACATACAATATCCAGACTCTCTATTTTCCATCTTTTCATAGCTTATTATAATCCTCTTGTACACTGCAGAGATTTGTCACTTGAATTGGTTTAATAAAATGCTGATTGGCCAGTAGCCAGGCAGGAAGTATAGGCGGGGCAACCAAACTTCTTAGTGCTGGGAAGAGGTAGAATGGAATTAGGAGTTGCCAGCCAGATACAGAGGAAGCAAGATGACAAGGCAGAACTGAGAAAAGGTACCAAGCCATGTGGCTTAACATAGATAAGAATTATGGGTTAATTTAAATGTAAGAGCTAGTTAGTAATAAGCCTGAGCTACTGGCCAAGCATTTATAAGTAATATTAAACCTATGAGTGTTTATTTGGGAACTGGCAGGTGGAAGAGAACTGTCCATTTACAAATGTGCTGTTTTTAGCCTTTGTCTGAAGAGTCTGCCTGATGCTAAAGTGAAGAGATTTGGATTAATTCCACTGGTGGAGGAAATCTCAAAACAGCCTAGTATTGACTCTGTTATGTGGTTACTAGCATTAACTCTAATGAAGATACATAATGAAAAGAAGAAAGATGAGCAAGGAAAAATACTTGAGGGAAAAAAATCGCACCAGGAAGTGGAAGGAGTTAAATTCTGTGTTCAAGGAGACAGAACAGATTAAGAAATGGAATAAAGGGAGTGGTGATCTTAGGGCAAGATCTCATCCCCCTAAATTTCCAACTTGTGAAAAAGAATTAAAGAAAAGCTTAGAGCCCGGTGCAGTGGCACACGCTAATAGAATTTACTGAGAGTCAGAGGCAGGAGGATCATGAGTTTGAGGCCAGCTTGGTCTACAAAGCAAGTTCAAGGACAGCCGAGTTTAGGCAGTGAAAATAACCACTGAAAACAGAAAGCTGGTGAAGAAGTAACTGAACAAGGAGGCCATGTTCCGGCCCCAGCAAGCAGCAGAACTTGGCAGCTTTGGCCACATGGTTCTGGCTTTAGAGTCAAGGAGCCACTGAGAAAAGCCACTGAAACCAGACATGTGTCAGGGGTGTCCCTGAATGGAGGCCTAGAGAGGCCATTGTGTGAAGCTGTGAAGGTGAAATCTGGATTGCCTTGGAGAACCCAAGATTTTGGAGATGCCAGAGCCGTGGGATACCTGCTGAGGAGAGCTGCTAGCTGAAAGGAGTTGATCTGAAGGGTGGTTTGACATCAGACAAGGAGATGCAGAGTTTGGAGTTTGCCAGCTGTTTTTCGGTCTTGCTTTGGTCCAGCATTTCCTCACTATGCCCCCTTCCCTATGTTTTGGAGCAGTAATGTATATCCTGTGCCATTATATGTTCTAAGTATGTGATCTGTGTTTTGATTTTGATTTTATAGTGGATTACAGTTAAGAGATTGCATGAATCTCAGAAGAGGCTTTGAACTTTGGATTTTTAAACATTATTGAGACTGTGATAGACTATGGGGTGTTGTGGAATATTTGTTTAATTATGCAAAGATGTGTTGCATTATGTAAAGATGTATTGCTGTTTTACATTGCCTACCTAAGGCACCTGATTGGTCTAATAAAAAGCTGAATGGCCAAAAGAAAGGGAGGAGATACGATCAGAACTTCTGGGCAGGGAGAGTAAGTAGGAAGAGGAATTTAGGCTCAGGGAAGAAAGAAAAGGAGATGGCAGGGAGACACCAGGGGCCAGCCAGCCAGACAGACATGGAGGAAGCAGAAAAGTAGGACATACAGAATAAAAGTAGAAAGCCCTGAGGCACAATGTAGATCAATAGAAACAGGTTAAATTAAGTTAAAAGAGCTAGTGGGCAAGCCTAAGCTAAAGCCTAGCATTCATAATTAACAATAAGTCTCTGTATCTTTATTTGGGAGCTGGTTGGTGGCTCAAAGAAAATTCCAACTACAATGGGGACTTTTGAAGTTGGACTGAATGTATTTTTGCATTATGATAGAATGCAAGCCTTTGGGGGCCAGGGAGTGGAATGTGGTGGTTTAAAAGAAAATGGTCCTCAAAGGGAGTGGCACTATTTAGGAGGTGTGACTTTGTTGGAGATGGTGTGATCTTGTTAGAGGAAGTGTGTCATTGTGGAGGTGGGCTTTGAGGTCTCATATATATTCAAACCATGTCCGGTGACACAGACCACTCTCTGTTGCCTGCAAGTCAAGATGTAGGAATCTCAGATTCATCTCCAGCACCATGTCTGCCTGCACATCACCATGTCCCGCCATGATGATAATGGACCAAACCTCTGAAAATGTAAGCTAGCCCGAATTAAATGTTCTCCTTAATAAGAGTTGCTGTGGTCATGGTATCTCTTCACAGCAACAGAAGTCCTGACTAAGACAGATCCTGTCCCTGAAGAGCCAGTACAGGGATGGGATAGAGGGACACAGGCTGAGTAAAGGCAGTGACCAACGAGACAGGAGTGGCCAGGATCAAAGAGGGCCTGGGAATCCTCCAGGAACCCTGGAGCTACCCTGCCACCAGCCACAGGCTCCCTTACTGTGTCAAGCCCTGGTTCTTCTGGAAAGAAGCTGGAGGACCCTGCTTGGATCTCAGAGGCAATAACTTAAGGGTAACTTTGACCTCTGCCTCAGTCCTCCCAAATCTACACTCCTCCCTGCTGGACGTGAGCCCAGCTGGAGAGGCTGACTCAGAGCATTGAGAAACTGAAATTCCAAGAGTCCTAGATCCTCAGCCTGACCATCCCCTCACTCATCCCCCACCCCTCCAAGTCCGCTGGAAAAGTACTACAGACACCCTTCCTCTGAGCTCCTCTTCAGAGCCTTAGAGAACTACCTAACCTCAGCCTGTCCTCCTGAGGGCACAGGCAGGAGTGTGGTTGCCCATGTTCTTTTATTGTGGCAACAGAAGAGACAGATACAGATTGTTTTCCACCTATTAGCTGCTGTGCTGCACACCTCATGAGATCAGACGGCACCCTGTCCCGGGGTTTTGCAGACTGTGTCGAAACCGTGGTTTTTCAGAATGTACCTTCCTTCTGAGAAATTTCATTTTACGAGCAGCTTTCTTCTTAAGGGAAAAAATTTTTTTCATACAGCATATTTTGATCATGTTTTCCCTCCCCAATTCCTCCCAGATCCTCCCTACATACCCAACTTTATCTTCTTTTTCTCTGCTTTGAAAAAACAGTCAAAACAGTAACAAAAGTAAACAAAAAAGAAACATACTTACAAAAATACCCCCACAAGAAACACAAAAAGAGAAACCAAAATAAACAAGCCAAAGACCACTAAGAAAAATATGCCTTGACAAAGAAGATAGAGACAAAAAGTCTATGAAAATGCCATGGAATTTGTTTGGTGTTGGCCAACTACTCCTGTGCATAGGGCCTTCCCTGATCTGTGGTTAATATACCCAGTGAGACTTGCCTGACGAAAACAGTTTTCCCTTTTTCCATCAGGCATCAGCTGCAGATAGTTTTTTAGTTAGGGATGTGGGACCCATGTCCACTTTCCCTTCTCAGCATTGGGGCCTCATCTGATTGGCACTGCTGTCCTTATGTGTGCTGCTACAGTCTCTGTGAGTTCATATGCCCATCAGTTCTTCCCTGGATTCATCTATCCCCTCTGGCTCCCACAATCTTTCCACATACATGTCTGAGCCTTGAGAGGAGGGCTTTGATGAAGAAATACTATTTAGGACTGAGTATTCCAAGGTCTCTCACCGTCTTCTCACTGTCCAGTTGTGAATCTTCGTGCTAATTCCCATCTATTGCAAGAACAAGATTCTCTGATGAGGGCTGAGTCAGGCACTGATCTATAGATATAGCAGTATGCCATTAAGGGTCATTGTATTGCTAGTTTCCTTTAGCAGAAAAATAATATTAGGTTTTTGTTGTTGGTTGTTTTTACTCTTTTGAGGGGCCTGCCACCCAGCTCCCAGATAAATTATACATGGAGGCTTATTCTTAATTATAAGTGTCCAGCCTTAGTGTTATTAGAATCTTAGATGGTCTTATTAATAGAAAACCCAGGGCCAGATATCAGGGTGAAAGCTGAAAGATTAGAGAAGCAGAGCAGCCAGCCACTAGTTCTTACCTCTACAAAATCTTCAGCCTAAGGAGAGTGAGTTCCTGTTTCCTCATGTCTTATACACCTTTCTCTGCCCTGCCATATTACTTCCTGGGATTAAAGGTATGTGTGCCTCCCAAGCAAAGGCATGGGATTAAGGTGTGTGCCACCACTGCCTGACCTCTATGTCTAATCTAGTTGGCTGGCTCTGTTCTCTGATCCTCAGGCAAGTTTATTAGGGTGCACAATGTATCACCATACCTTAGCTTGGCCTGTTGCTAGCCAGCTCTACTTAAATTATCCCATCTATCTTTTGCCTTTGGGTTTTTACCTTTCTCTATTTCTGTTGCTGATTATGTTGCTGGGTGGCTGGTCCTTGATGTCCTCCTCCTTCTTGCTCTCTTGCTCTTTCTTCTTCTGCCCCCAGATTTCTCCTTCTATTTTTTCTCTCCGCCTGCCAGCCCCACCTATCCTTTCTCCTGCCTTACCATTGGCCGGTCAGCTCTTTATTAGACCATCAGGTGTTTTAGACAGGCAAAGTAACACAGCTTCACAGAGATAAACAAATGCAACATAAACAAAAGTAACACACCTTAAAATAATATTCCCCAACAGGTTTCCTAAGTAGATAGGTAGAACTTGGATTCTATTGTTTTTTGATCAAGAGATGGAGTTCAAAGTC